AACACTGTCGTGCAGCATCGTCGCACAGAGCAGCTGCTGCGTTCCAGCCCCAGAGGTGGGTGAAGTGGCAGAGGTTCAGAGCCTGCAAAGCAGGCTGCAGGGGTGGGCCGTGTTGTGGGTAATGGATGCTTATTCCCTGGTTTCCGTAAAACCAGTTCACCTTTCTGTGTGGCAGTTTCCTAACCCTAACAAAGGCAGATCCAGTGGAACAACCCATGTAAGTGTCTAACTTGAACCATGGGGAGGAACCCCAGGAGATATCTAAGCAGGCATCCATCCCAGTACCCTGTCTCAAAGTGGGGGACAAATACCAGCAGTTCTGTGCCCTGGGGGCTCTCCCTTAATACCCCTAGCATGATACCCAGAGGGATAAATCCCAGCGGGCTTCTCTTTCCAGCCTCCCTCATGTCCCTGAAGAGAGAACAAGGAGGACACACTCCAGATTGCTACTCAGGCCCCACTCAATCCCCGACCCTGTCCTAAGCAGGGACAGAACCACTGGTCAAAGGCCCCGAGGATGGTGGGGGGCAAAGTTGTCCTGGGGGACATTTGCCGGGCTCCAGCCTTGGTCCCGTGATGCTGCCCCAGGCCGAGCACATGACACAGGAGACGTCGGGGGTCAGAAATGCAGGAAGATCTTTATTTACAGTAACAAATCAAACAGACAAAACCTCACAACCCCCCACCCAGCCTTTGCAGGGCGCATTTCTTCCCTGCCCTGCAGTTGAAGGCCCAAGCAGGGTAGGCCGGTATAGGTCAGGGGGAGAGAGAGCTGGAGCCACTGGCCCTCCGGAGGCCTTCCGAGCAGGCGCAGTGTCCAACTGCTGCGTGGCTTGCACCTTCGAGTCAGGCCCGGAGAGCTCTGTCCTTCCCCTGTAACAAGAAGGCCAGGAGAGAAGGCGTTTCGCAACAGGGAGAGTCTGGAATCTCCTCTCTCCACCAATTTGTGCATGGACACGCAGCTTCTCTGCGGGGAAGGCTTTTCTGGGCATCCTTTGTCAGCCATCACAGGGGCAGTTAAGGAAAAGGCTCTGTGCAAGTGTGTGTGTGCGCATGCATGCGTGCGCACGCACACTCGCATGCGATAGCCCAAGTGCTGGGGTCACAAGGGAGCAGCCGGCTGGGTTTATTGCACTTGCCTGTCTTCCTCAGCACCGAGAAGGGGGCGGGGAAGCCACTTCCAACCGCAAAGGGAGGCCGAGGCGTTCAATCTCCAACCTCCCACCCCGGCCGGCACCCTGAAGCTCACAGCACCCTGCTGCCCATAGCCACCGCTTCCTGCCTGGGGTGAGAGGATGAGGCCGGTGCGTGCGTTTTGTGCCACGTCTTGGGCCCCATCATCTGAGTCCACAGGGCGGGAGGTTAGACGGGCCTGTGGGACCTCTGTGAAAAAGTCCTGTCTTTGTACTCTGGGTGCTGGCAGGCCAGCTGCAATCCTCCTGCGGGCTCATGATATCTAACTGCTGACCAGGGGACATCAGCCTACTCCTTCGAGTTGCAAACTAGCGGGCACTCCTGTGCCTAAAATACCAGCGAGCGGGCACCACGCCCTTGCCGTAGTTTGAACTAGCAGCATGGATGCTCCTGCAATAGCTGCCGATCAGCTGGCACCAGTGCACCTGGCACACTTTTCTTTGCCAGCCAAGGGCCACTCGTGCTACTATAACATGCCAGCTGTCAGCCAGCGGGGCACTGGAGCAGCCAGCCAGTGGGGTGGCACCATTCGCTGATTCCTCAGACAGCCGGTGGCTCGGTGCATGTCTGATCTTTGGCCCAGCAAGGCAGCTCAGGGTCTCTGCGTAGGACTTGCTCTCCTGCTCTCGGCTCAGGTGGCAGGAAGCAGCCACGCTGCTGTCTCAATTCCCCCGTGAACCGCTTGGGGTTACCCAAGCCGGACAGCGCTGGGGGAGGTAGAGAAAGAAAGTTTGGATCCTGCAGGTATCCAACGAATCTTCCGCTGTTCCATGGCTCTAAGGAGGGGACTCCCATCCCCAGGTGCTTTCCAGCCTCAGGTTACCGGCTCTGCTGGGGTCTCTGGACTCCTGCCCTTTCCATCTCCCATGTGGCTCTCTCAAAGGCTCAGGAAACCTGCAGGATCCTCCGAACACATGATGCGAGGCAGGTCAAGAAAAATAAGAGCCAAATGGGTGGCGGGGTGGGGGGGATCCCCAATCCAAGGCACCCCTGCCCCGCCCCCGTCCCCTCGAGTTTATGCCTGGGCGAGGGATTTGGCTCTGGGTTCCTCGCCCCCGCCCCGCTTCAGGAGGAGAAACACAGGCCACAGCACTCCATGCAGATCTCCAGGCAGTCCGCAGACTCGCAGCAGGCGTCCACGATGCCGCAGTCCATGTCGCAGGGGAGGTCGCAGTCGGCGCACTCCCCGGAGCCGCAGCAGCAGCAGCAGATGCAGGAGTCCTCGGAGCTGCAGGAGCCGCAGGTGGCGCAGTCCAGCACAATGTTGCAGAGGGTCAGGAACTCGCAGAAGAGGCAGGAGAGGATGCAGTGGACGCAGCAATCTGAGGAGGGGAATGGCAGAGCCAGAGAGGGAGTGTGGTGGGGGGGAGAGGACAGAAATTAATGATACTGTTATTCACGGACGCTGCCTGGCACAGCACCATCCCAGGGCTTGGATGGGAATGTTCCCAACAGGCATTTTAGGGTTCCAGATTTAACCCCCTAGATCCCAGCTTCCATAGAGACCACCACAAACCATCTCAGGGCAGAGATCTGAGACCAGCCCGGGGCTGCTGGGCTCAGGGTGGTTGGTTATTTGGGCTTTGGCTTCTGCAGACACACAGGCAGGGTGGGGCCTGCGAATGGCTCTATAGGGCCAACCGGTGCTGCCCGGGGAGCTTAGAGACTCTATGGAAAACTCTTGGATCTTGGCCATTGCTGACGATTTTGTGTGGAAGGTGCCCAGATACTACGGTGATGGGCAGCAGTATAAAACCCTAAGCTAGGCAGACTGCAACCCGAAGGCAAACAAAAAGAACTCGCCAAAGGTCAGCAGTGAGAAACAGACGGCGCTTTACCAGAATGGGCTGATTCATTTAAAATGGGGGTGGGAGGGGAGGATGTAGGGATGGGGAAGAGCGCATCCCGGAATCTATGGGGCAGATGTAAGGCCAGCGTGAGGGGGAAGAGAGCGTCCCGGAATCTATGGGGCAAGTGTGAGGCCAGCGTGAGGGGGAACAGAGCATTCCAGAATCTATGGGGCAGATGTAAGGCCAGTGTGAGGGGGAAGAGCACGTCCTAGAATCTATGGGGCAGATGTAAGGCCAGTGTGAGGGGGAAGTGTGTGTCCCGGAATCTATGGGGCAGGTGTGAGGCTTAGTTCTCCCTTAGTGAAGGAGATTACTGGAGGGCTGGGAGGGACATTACTGGGATTGAAGGAGATCCAAAACTATGCAAGGGTCATGAGATTAGGGGGCAGGGGATCCCAGAACTAACAGGACCAGCGTGAGGCACGAGGAGGTGGGGCAGAGGACCTGGCAGGGAGGGGGGAGACCAGCCCAGAGCAAATAGGGAAAATGTGGGGGAATCGGACCAGGATCCACACAGCTCCCTGGCTTGAACGGTAGCAAGGGGCAGTCGGCGCAAAGCAGTAACTGTGGTCGTCACCCCTTTCAACCTGGGCGCTCCCATCTCTCACTCGAGCATTGTAGCTCTTGTTCCCATTAGTGGACATGGAGGATTTGGGGAGCTGGGTGGGGGGGCAGGGAGAGCCGGTACCTTGCTGCGCCTCCACAGGGATCTGAGAGGAGGCTGATTTGGAGCTGCCTTTGCTCTTCTTGCTGCCCTGGCTGTTGATGGAGTAGTGTGACTGCAGCTTCCGATGAGGCTTCTGAGAACTGGGCAGCGAGCCAAGGACGCCGTTCCCGGCCTCTCGGTTTGTGCCGCCTGGGTCCGGGACACGCCCAGTGCCGTTCTGCAGCAGAGGGGTGCAGTCCATGGGGCTGGATGGCTGGAGACCCCGCAGGGGTGTTCGCACCTGGGGCTGGCCTGTGGGCAATAGGCAGCAGTGTGTTAGAGAGAGCTGCACTCAGAAGAGCATCCCGCATGGCAGAGAAAAGACCGGTCCTGGCTCTAATGCATATTCCCCGGTCGAAATGCAGTTAAGCCCATGTGTAGACAAGGCTAAGTCCAGCAAAGATGTTTGCTTAAGGCTCTGCCCATCTAGGGGGAATTTTTATAAAGAGAACATTAAACAGCCCTGGTCCAATGGAGCCATCTGGGAGAATTTTACTTGAACGGAGACACGGGAGAGCCCTGAAGCCATTTTTTGTTCTTCCTGGAAGGTATCTGGGGAGGCCATTTCTACTGGGCTTAAAGGCCTTTCATAGAATCACAGAAATGTAGGGCTGGAAGGGACCTCGAGAAGTCACCAAGTCCGGCCCTCAGTGCTTAGGCAGGACTAAGTAAATTTAGACCATGCCTGACAGGTGTTCGTCCAACCTGTTCTTAAAAACCATCAGTGACAGAGATTCCACAACCTCCCTTGGGAGCCTGGTTCAGAGCTTAACTACCCTGAGAGTTAGAAGGTTTTCCCTAATATCTAACCTAAATCTCCCTTGCTGGAGTGTAAGCCCATTACTTCTTGTCCCACCTTCAATGGACATGGAGAACAATTGATCACCGTCCTCTTTGTAACAGCCCTTAAGATACTGGAAGACTTATCAGGTTTCCCCTGTCTTCTTTTTTCAGACTAAACGTGCCCAGTTTTATTAACCTTTCTTCAGGTTTTCTAAACCTTTGATCATGTGTGTTGCTCTCCTCTGGACTCTCTCCCAATTAGCCACACATTTCCTAACATTTGGCACCCAGAATTGGACACAATACTCCAGCTAAGGCCTCAACAGTGCCAATGGAGCAGGACAATTACCTCCTGTGTCTTACATACGACACTCCTGTCAATAAACCCTAGACTGGTACTAGCCTTTTTCACAAATGCATCACATTGTTGACTCACATTCAGTTTGTGATCCACTATGACCCCCAGATCCTTTTCAGACTTACTACCCCCTAGCCAATTATACTCCATTTTGTAGTTGTGCATTGAATTTTTCCTTTCTAAATGAAGAACTTAGCATTTGTCTGTATTGAATTTCATCTTGTTGATTTCAGACCAATTCGCCAATCCGTCAAGGTCATTTTGAACTCTCATCCTGTGCCCCGAAGTGCTTGCAACCCTGTTCCAGTTCGGTGCCGTCCGTAAATTTTATAAGCATACTCTTCACTCCATTATCCAAGTCATTGATGAAAATACTGAATAGTACCAGACCCAGGACTGAGCCCCATGAGACTTCATTAGATACCCCTTCCCAGTTTGAGAGCGAACCATGGATAACTACTCGGTGAGTATGGTCTTTCAACCAGTTGTGCACCCACCTTATAGTAATTTCTTCTAGACTGCATTTCCCTAGTTTGCTTATGAAAATGTCATGCGAGACTGTGGCAAAAGTCTTTCTAAAATCAAGGTAGATCACACCTACTGCTTCCCCCCATCCACTAGGCCCATAACCCTATCAAAGGAGGAAATTAGCTTGGTTTGGCATTATTTGTACTTGACGAATCCATGATGGTTATTCCTTATAACCCTTTGTGGAGGGCTATCAGCAAAGGCCATCTCCAGATTGTGAGGCTCTATCCCTTCTTGGCATAACCAGACAATCCTCTGCGGTGGCAGCCTTCATGTTCTGCCCCCAATCCACCCCAACCTCAAACAGATGAAACAGGGAGACGGGAGGCTCCTGGAAACTAGATCCTCAGCTGGTGTCTTCAGTGCAGCTCCATTGGCTTAGCTACGCTAATCTGGCCTGATGCATCAGGGAGGGGGAAAGGGAGGCACAAAGGGTGGTGGGGGGGAGAAAGGGAGAGATGCAGAAGAAGATGACATAGTAGAGCAAGAGGGACATGAGGAGGAGGAAGGAGAAGGGATGGAAAATAAAGGAATGAGCGAGTAGAGTCCTATGGTGGAAGAATGGCCCAGTGGTTAGAACACTGACCTGGGAAATAGGATACCTGGGTTTCTCACCCTGCTCTGTGTGCCCTTGGGCAAGTCCCTTAGTGTCTCTGCTTCAGTGATAGCCCTGTCCCCTCTCAGAGGGGGGTTGTGAGGATAAACGCAGCCCAGATTGCAATGCATTCAATTGCTATGGTGACGGGGTCATATAAGATATTCATGACAACGTGACGGGAAAGAAGAGAGCCCAGAAGGCAGGTTTGTAAGAGAGCTCAACACCAAAGAGGCTGAGCTCTTCTGAAAACCTGGTCCGTATAAAGGATAAAAGCCTACTGCTGCTACCAAATAATGAAGTTAGTCCTTTAGTGGAGGCGCTGACCACCACTGATTCAGCTCCATTGATGGCAGTAACGTGGCTGGACTTGGGCTGCGACCACTGCGTTGATGCCACCTGCTCAGAGAGGGTCTAAATGACACCCTGGATAAAAACTACCCTGGACTGAACTACGCTACACAACCCTCAAAACAGCTGCCCCCACGGGGTGATTTCCCAAAATAAGGCTAGCACAGACACCGCCCAGGCTGGTCAGCTGTCTGAGGGCCACAAATGGGCTGCTGACCTCAGGGAGGAGTTGTGTGTTCACATTGGACTCCTCCCTCCCCCCCAACCCCCAGGGCTGAAAGTCAGAAGGGAGCTTGAGAAGACGATGCCCGGTAAGAAAGCTGGGTTGTGGATCTCTCGCCAAACAAATTAATGCCCTTAATTAAAGTGATCCACAACCTCTGGCTGGACATTAAAGGGGAGGAAAACAAACATCTGCGACTCCCTCTTGTCCTCGCATTCTGCAGAAACAAGTCAGGCTTGCGAATCTCCCTAGCTGGGGCCAAAGGGATGCTCGTCTGTACTTTGCCGTGGCCAGACAAGGCAATGTGGGGGAATCTGGAGAATAGTTTAATCCTGCCCTTTCCCCCCCCCCCCGTGCGTGGTTAGTTGGCCTGGTTATCGACCACAGACAGGATTTGGAATCCAGATCAGGAAGGGTTAATCATCAATCTCCCCAGCCCGCAACATAACCAAATAAATAGAACTCTGCCTGCCGTTGTCTGTGCCAAACTTTTCAATCTCTCTCTCTCTCTCTCTCTCTCTCTCTCTCTCTCGTCAGTAAACAAGTGATGATTCAGCAGAAAGGCTTGAGGGCAAAGGCACCTGGAGCCAAGCTGGGGAACAGTAGCCGCATTCTGTTCGGGGCGTCAGTGGGACAGGGAGCCTGAACTGCAGGGATGAGAAGGGCCAGGACTGCATCGAGCAAGACGTCCAAACACAAGGTGCTTCTGTCTCACGTTGGCGAGGATGCCAGGCCGCTCGCAGGCAAAAATAAAATCGATGGAGGTAAGAAAACAGCATCTTGTTTTCCCAGCCTGGGTATCCCAGCAGGGCTGCGAGCGCTACGCTCGTCCGGCTAGCAGAAATGGGGAAATGGCTGGCAAGGAAGTAGCGAGGCTTGCAAAGCAGGTTCGTCCCACACAGAATGGGGGCGGGGCAGTCCCAGGCAGTCACTAGTGCTTAAGGCTGGTTTTAGAGCATGAACGAGGCCGGGGGGAAAGTTTAAGCAACTGGATCCTAAAGGAGGGTGATTGTATGAGAAGCTCCATGGCAGAGCATGCTGGGAAAAGCGGGACTGAAAATTGAGGTGAAAACAACCGGGCGATGTGATCCAGAAGGAGGGGGATAGATAGAGGAGGAGTGAGAGGGGGATAGGAAGGAAGAGGAGGAGATGAAAGAAAGAACAAACTGAGCTTGGATTAAATCAGACTCCCATTCCCCAACCTTTTCCTCTTTGAGGTGCTGGGTGGTTTTCATTTTCAGCTTCCAGCTAGGAGGAGAAACACCTGAAAGCACACGAGCACCTGTCCTTGAGAGATCCCCAGCCTGAATGTACACACCGACGGAGAGGAGCGGGATCCAAACTTTCAGCTGATTCTCCAAAGCAGGAAACCTTTAGACGCTCTCCCATTGTCACAATGAAGGCCTGATCCTGCCCCCCCGGGGAGCTTGGGGGAAGCGGGAGCAGGCCCCAAAGATCACATGGCCCCAAAGATAATGGCCTAGGGGAAAAAACGTTTGCAGGGGAAGAAAAAGGAACCATTTTTGAGGCTGTTTAGGGTTCCAGGTTCCAGAAGGACTGGTTCCACACATTTCTTCTTGACGTCACTGGGAGGAGGCACTTGGCTCCTCTGACAGGCCCCACTGGTGTTTCGATGATTATTACCTGTTATCATATCATCATACCTATTATCATAGTATCTCTGGGCCCCAGTCCCGGAGAAGGATGCCCCTATGCAAAGGGCTGTATCAACACAGAACAAAAACAGGGTCCCTGCCCTAAGGCGCTTACTGTCTAAGCGGCCACTCAAAATCAGTGGCTGCTTTTGAAAACAGCCTCATTAGCTTGGCTTAATCACTCGGCAAGTTCCTTCTTTAATGTTTAAACTAGCATTGATCTGTACAAGATGTAATCGAGGTGCCCTAATTGCATAAACTGCGTATTTTGGGTTTGTTTTTTTCTTATACTGTGTCATCATGGCAGACCAGATCAACAGCTCTGTGTTGAGGGGAAGGATGGTCTTGTCTGGATTCAACACCCATTTCTGCCGCAGGCTCCCTGTGTCATCTTAGACCAGTCATTTAAAGGATGGAATTTCTGCTGGTGCTGTAGATTCTCAGCACTTCTGATAACCAGGCCCTTAACTCTGTCCCCTCCACCCCCATCTGTATAGGGACTAGGGATAACACCATTTCCTTTCTGCCTTGTCTATTTAGACTGTAAGCTCTTTGGAACAAGGACTATCTAATACTGTGTGTCTGTCCAGCGCCTATTACATACAATAGGGCCCCTGTCTCTCAGTGCTAGCATAGTAATAAATTGCTACACATGGACATACATTTATACACCGGTAAACAGAGCTGCCCCCTGAACTGGGTTGTATCCTTGGCGCAAACTCCGAGTGAACTTCTACAGCTGAGTTTAAATCCGCCCCTGAGAACATGGGTTTGTGCTGACATGACCTTAACCGCAGGGGCACAAGTGAGATTACATAGTGGTGAATCCCTGAATCAGAAAATTAAAGGTGAGGCCTCAGCTGATAAGAATTTTGTTCCCAGCTGCTCCTTACCATTTCCCCAGTTCTCCCAACACGCTCTCCCTGCGGAGGCTGGCCTCCCGGCTCTTCCCCCAGGCATGATTTGTTAGAATGGCATCTCTCCCGTCGTCAAAGAGACAAGAAGATACAATAGCCCCTGGGGTGGGCGGGTGTGTTTCCAAACTGTCATGAGACTAGTGTTCGAGAGGGTGCAGTCTTGCCAGACCCTAACTGTCTGGGCCCCACCCCTCTAAAAGGCCCCATCTTCAGTTCAACCCTGTCCAAAGCCCACTGCAGCCAACAGAAGTCTTTCAAGCCCAGAGCCAGGGAATCCAGTTACAACCAATGATTGTCCCCTGATCTTTTTGCAACTTTTAGCCTACTTGTAGCTGGACTAAACTATTATTTATCATACAGTAGCAGAGAGAGAGACCTCCAGCCAAGATCCAGGCCCCATTGTGTTAGGTGCTGTAAATACCCCAAGTAAGAGACAGTTCCTGCCCTGAAGAGCTTACAGTCTAAACAGAAACACAGAGAGGGGAAGTGAATTGGCTGCAGGTTAAAGGCAGAGCTGGGAATTGAACCCACGTCTTCCGAATTTCTAGCAAAGTACTGCATCCTCTAGATTACACTCCCTCCTCTAATGCACTAATCTTTTTCACCCAGTTACGGGGAAACAGTCTCTATTGCCCTGTTGGAACCAGGTCCCCGCCTTCATTTGGTGTAGACAGAGTCTAGCAGTGCATGGTCCAGTATGATTCCAATATGCCAGGCTTCAAAAATCCTGCTCAATCCGATGCAAGAAAGGCCCATTGGGCCCAGGAATCTGATGCAGTCCACAGAGAGAAAGTCAGAAGCACAGGTCAGGAATTTTCAGACATGCCTCGCCAGCCACTCCCCACAAATATTCTACAGCTTCAGTCGTTAAATGTTTTTGAAAATGGCAGGGTTTACAAAAGTGCCTGGTGTACATGGTTTGGCTTTCTCTGTTTCTTTGCATTCCTCGGATTAAATTGTTTGTAAATCAAAATCATTCCCTGATTCAGACAAGCACTGAGCAGCAGAGAAGCCAGGCCAGAATTTCCCCTCAGAGTTAGTAATAATATCTTACAGCTATAGGGCGGTTTTCCACACAAAGGATCCCAAAACACTCAAAAGGAGATGGAAGAATGGCTACAGTCTACCTCCGACATGCAGCCGCCTCTGGGGAGGAATGCAACAGCTGTTTAACAGCGCAGTGCAACACTACACGACAAGTGAGTCCAGGAGGGTCTCGTATCCAATTGCAAGTTCAAGGAGAATTTACGGAGTTAGAATGCAATTAACCAGTTAGAAATGGTCCAGGAAACCAGGACTATCACCCCTATTTTGGGGACATTGTCATTGGATATTTAATGGCCTAAAGAGGCCAGGACCTTGATTTTAATTCCTATACAAGAGATGGCACCTTCAGCAGCTCCTAGCACTATGTAGATTCGGCTCTAGTCATGTCATCAGGAACTTTGAGTGGATTGAGGATCTGACCACAGCAGTGTCTCTTCCTGCTAAGACCAGGTTTTAAGAACAACAATCAATTTTGCTGAAGGTCATTTTTCTGAGTCCCTCACAACGTTGGGATAATACCAGGACCATGGAACAAGGACACAATTCCAAAGCCCCCTTCCCAAAGCTCCCTGCCTTCTCCCATAAGTGCTGACTCTCGGATAATTAAATTACAGGATCCCAATGCTATAACCTCTCCTATACTTCAGAATGCATCATTTCACCTCCCTCTGGTATTATCCACAGGGGGATACATCAAGATGCACCTGAGATCTGTTTGCCCTGCATCACAGAGTAGATTTTCAAAGGAACTCAGCCCCCAGCTGCTCCCATTGTGACATTGATGGCCAGACTTTCCCAATAACTCAGCACATTGGATGCTGGGCAATTCTGAAAACTTTGGCTATTTACTTAGGTACCTAAAAGGGAACTGAACTGTTTGGAAAATCTGGCCCCAACTCTCGGTCCTGAGCACTCGGAAATCAGACCTGAGGTCTTTGAAATTTGGCCCAGGTCTTGAAAGCCTGAAGATATTTGCAGTTCATCGTTGCTTCATTAGGGAAAGACCCACATCTTCCTGATAAGGGATTTTTGATTGGCCATTAGCAAAGGTCATCATTAAAACAAACATTCCCCACCTTACTAAGATACCACCGTTACTTCCCATTCGAAGCACAGTGAATTACGCGGGTGTCTCAGATAGCAGCGTGGGGTAACTGCTGGAAAATGACGACTTTTTAATGGCAGCTTCTGGTAGAACAGGTTTCACTGTATTTAATCCCCACATGGTAAATGTGAAGTGTCTGTTCAAAGGTCCACCCTGATTGGTTGTCACACACTCCGGCATCATTAGCCCATAAAGCGGCATGACTGGAGAGTGACGGAGTTGGTGTGGCTGTTGGAAAGAGACAAATTCATCAAAGAAACGCAGGGCTGGGCGGGACCTCGAGACGGCATCGAGCCCAGCCCGCTGCACTGAGGCAGGACTAAGTGAACCTAGACCGTCGTTGCTGACAGGTTTGGCCAATTCTTAAAAACCTCCAATGATGGTGATTCGACAGCCTGTTCCAAAGCTGAATGACCCTTCATTGAGGGTTAAGGCACATAAGTAGCCTCACTCCTAGAGCTCAGGTTTCCTGGTGCTAGGTGAGAAGTTACACAAACAAATCCAGTTCCATGGTTGCTTGTTTCCCCCCTGACCCATTATATCAGATTAGATCAGAAAAGAAGAATGGGCCAGGAGTCTGGGTGCTAATCTAGGGGTCAATTCCCTGCTCTGCCACAGATTCTCCGTGTGACCTTGGGTAACTCAGTTAATATGGGATTTCCAAAGCCACCTCAGTGGGCTAGGCACCTAACTCCCATTGAAAGTCAATGGGTCTTAGGCACCTAACTCACTTAGGAATTGTCTTTGTGCCTCAATTCCCCACCTGTGCGATGGGGATACTAGCACTCCCATACTCACAGGGGTGCTGGGAGGATCAATACGTTAAAGATTATGAGGGGCTCAGATATTATGGTATGGGGGCCAGATAAGTACCTAAGATCATTGTTCCGTCCAGTCCAATATCATCCTTCCAGCTGCATGCCTGGAGATTCAGAGGAAAGATTTAACTTCATCACAATGCAGTTAACCAATGCTATATTCAGTGGGGGAAATTCTTCCTGACTCCTGTTGCAATCTGATGATACCCTGAAGCATGAGGCTGGATTTCTCCCCTCCCCCGCCCCCCACAGCCTGCGTACCTGTCAACTGCCCTAGTGTTGTTCATCCACTCCAGAGGGAGCTTGCTCTCTTTCCAGGTAAGCCACCTAGGGCGGACTGCACTGGGGCTGATGCAGAGGCAGCATGCGTGAGCCAATCCGTGGCAAAGAGAGGAGGGCTGAGAGCTTGCTCTCCAGGCAGGGTACAGCAGAGTGACTGAGAGGTGCAGAAGGTCAGATGCCTGCAAGGTTTCCAAGTTACAGTACAGGAAGCACGTAATCTCTTCACTCCACGTACTCTCATCCTGTCAATCCATCAGGATCAACCCTACTTCGCTATCCTTTCCCTGGCTGCCCTCCGTCCTACCCGCTAGTCTGCACCACCGGCAATTTGTCAACCTCACTGAGAGCCTCAGCCCCCACCGTCCCGCTTTCCAATGGGAAGCCTCAATCCATTTCATGTCCCTGGAAAAGTAAAGACTCTACTGAACTATCCAACGAAAGGGGATTTACTGTTGTGTGCCTACGGGGCAGACTGAGGGCAAGACACTTTAATCCAGGCTCAGGGATGCAGTCCGAGGGCAGGGAGAGAACAGATCTAATGATTCAGCAAGGGACTGGCCTGCTTTCTCCCAAACCTGCTAAACCACCTTCCCTCACCTTCAGCTCGAGGCACAGTGGGGGTAGCTTGCCCCTGGATCCAGCTCTGCTGTAAATCCTCAGCTGGTGTTTTCAGGGGACAGGGGATAGAGCTGGTTGTCTGCACTGGCAAAAATGGGACCCATAATGCAATGGTGGCGCTGTCCCAGCAAAAGTGGGCGCATGGATAGAGGCTATGCCTACGCTGTGCTCCAAAGCATGATTGCAGCTTCACCTAATTAACGGGCAAAGCTAAAAACAGCACAGAAGCCCCAGCAACACAGCTTCAGCACAGGCTAGCATTGCAAGTACACACCCAGGGGGACTGGGTGGGCCTGTACAGCACACACCGATGGCTATGCCATCATGGCGATTCGCAGCTGCGCTCGCTCGATTAAAGCTAGCGTGGCTACGCCTGCCTGAGCGGCAGTGACCCTCCGATTGCAGATCGATAGCATAGCCACAGACAGACAGAACTCTGGCGATCTTCCCACTGTGTCATCTGACCCTTCACAGAGCAGGATTTCGACAGCACAGTGCTAAAAACGCTCTCGACCTGCCTATGCCACAGCTTTCATCACTGCCACCCCGGCGGAGCTGTACCCCCAATGCATGAGCCCCCCTTGTCTTGTGCCTCTGCAGAGCTGCTGCTATCAGATCTCTCTCAAAGGACACGACCCGTCTCTCATGTGGGAACTGCAGATCCTCAGCCCTACTGTGCCCTTAGCTGTGTTTGGGGCAGTCAGAGAGATGCACTTTAGCCTTAAACCCACAATCCCTGCAGGTTGGTCCTGCCACTTCTTCAACCCCTAGTTACTTAACTTGCCTACATGCCGGTGTAGGAGGGACTGTCTGTAACGTTAGCGAAAACCCTCCCATTTCCCCCTTCTGTCCCTCTGGGGGGGCTCTCCCCGTCTGGTGCATTTCATAGGAGTTAGAAGGTGTGTCCCTCATTTTTCTTCCCACATGTCCCTGTGTATAACTTTGGCAGGTAAGGTTAACACTACAGACAACAGCAGCAGCAATTACCCCCTCACTGGATGCTACTCCTACTTTCGCCACCCGGACTAGCGCCACATCCTAGTGTGGGGGATAAAAATACAGCTCCCTGCTTTTATTTGGGAGTGGGAGGATAATGGAAGAACAGGGATAGTGCTCACTCTTGCTAGGAGCCTCTGACATTATTTTTGTATGTATTACGGTATTTCCTACAAGCCCCAACCTGGGACTAGGCCTATTGTGCTAGGTGCTGTACATACCAAAAATGAAAAGACAGTCCCAGTCCCAAATAGTTTATGGGTTTCTTTGAACCCATGAGTGAGGGGAGAGGTACCATCGTGATTTCAAGGAGCCAAACCCCCAATGCTGCCCCCGCCCCAGCAGAACCCAAGGAAAAGAAGCAGAGACTTATGTAAACAACAAGGAGTCTGGTGGCACCTTAAAGACTAACAAATTTATTTGGCATAAGCTTTCGTGGGTAAAAACCTCACTTCTTCGGATGTATAGAGTGAAAGTTACAGATGCATAAGGCATTATATACTGACACATGGAGAGCAGGGAGTTACTTCGCAAGTGGAGAACCAGTGTTGACAGGGCCAATTCAATCAGGGTGGATGTAGTCCACTC